CCTCCAGAGCAGACGAGACGAGACGGCCGTCGCCTTCCTAGAGCGGTGGATCGCTACTTCCGGCTCTGCTGCAGCCATTTTGCCGTGAGACAGCAGGGAGCTGGGCTGGTGCGATGTTTTCCACGGCTGGTTACGCGGACTTCAGGCCCGGGATGGGCTACGAGCTCGGCGCGCCCGTGCAGCACCGCTTCTCTCCCTACACCTTTAACGGAGGGTGAGGAATCGCAGGCAGGGAGCGGGGTGGGCTGACACCCCCTTCCCCGGGGGAGGGGACCTGAGGAGAGTGGCCGTAGGGCTGGGTCTCCCTCGTCTCACTCTTGCCTCCTTCCGGCAGCCTGTGAGGGTTCGTCTCCCCTTGCGAGCGCCTCTTTGTAGAGAAAAGGGGGGTCTGTGCAGCTTTTCGGGGCGTTCTTGCGTGTCCCTGTGACTTTCGACACACTCGGGCTCCCTGAGCTTTTACGGGCCAAAATAAGCACTTTCTGCGCCCCGCAGGGTTGTTTCTTTGCAGTGACTCAGGAAGCCCATGTAATGGTCGTATCGCCAGCTTTTCAACCTGTAACTGGGTTGAAAGCTACCTTGTCATAACTGTTAAGGGTAGGTGATGTTTTGCGGACACTTGCTCCGAGTTGGTGATGGGATCTGGCCAGGATAGCGTTATTTAGATGTTTTTTATAATGCCTAACTGCTTTTTAAAGGGAATGTGTTTGTTACTTAATGGTAGCACACATGTGGCAATCGCAAAACTAGTTATTTGGAAGTAAATAACACAGGATAACATCAGATTTAAAAAGCGATGACAATTTAAGTATAACGATACTGATGCTTAGTACTTGGCTGGAGTGTTTTCTTGGAGACCCAAACTGTTTTAGAAGGTGCATCTTTCATTGGCATCTAAAATTGCTAGTTTATTGTGTCTGTTTTTTGCATTGTATAGAAACTCTATTTTACCGAGGTTCTCTACAGTTTTTAGTGAAAGTAGAGAATCATGTACATAAATTCTTTTCAGTGTGTCTAGTCTATGCTTCCTCCAGTCTTGAATCACATGTAGGGATGTGCATAGTGGGAAACATAGCAAGGAGTATAAGGTGCTTGACCAAACATGAGTTTGGATATAGACCTGCTATCTAGTCTGTTCCTCTGTTGCCTAAGAAAATGTTTGTGCTAAAAGTCATAGTTATGTGAACGTTCTTCTTTAAGGACTGTGTTGGCCATCGCTGGAGAAGACTTTTCTGTTGTCGCCTCTGACACACGACTGAGTGAAGGTTATGCAATTCACTGCCGGGACAGTCCAAAGTGCTACAAACTGTAAGTCCAGATTTGTAAGAATCGATGAAAGATCTTTTGTATTGATGAGCATGTCACCTGCCGGGAATGATCTCTCACTTTCTTTAAGCAGAATTCTCAGAAAAAGAGAATAGTAACAAAATTGATTTTGAAGTCATGGTGACGCTTGCTGTAATGCAAGACATGATGTGATGTTGTAAATACTGCCAGATTTCTTGTTGCGTGCTCTTGAAGTTAATAACAATGTTTTTTAGCATGGTACAAGGCTTAATGTAAGCCAGGTGGGGGTTTTTTCTGGAAAATCAGAAGAACTTTTGTCTTACCTGTAGCAAAACTTAATCCTGTGGTAAGTCATTCTGCTTCATCAAGACACGTGGTGTGTCTGTACACAAGTGTGACCACTGCTGCCAGTTGTACTGTGTCTCTGTAGTCAACCATATGGCACTTTGACGAGGTATTTGTTTTAGGAGAGGTAAACCTGTCAGTAGTTCCATTATTGAACTTTTTATGCTTATTGTATGCTTATCTTGACTTATCTAGATAGCATCCCCTTGGTTTAAAAATACATGTTATTTACATTCTTTTGACTGTAGTAGGTACTTACCTAGTAGGCTGCCATCAGCTGTATAAGCAGTTTTTTTGTTTATGGTTTGTTTTTTTTTTTTTTTTAATTGATAACACAAGATGATATGAACTTACTTTTCTCCTGGCTAACTCCTTATTATATCTTTGACTCTCTAATACTGCCCAAATGGAAACTACTGTGGCACTTTCTGCACGCTGCACATCATGGCTTTGTGTAGTTCTAGTGACAGGCTGAGAGAAGATGTAAATTTAAATTGTTTTCTGAATGACTGCTTTGTGTTAGTCTCTGTAAGTATGTGTGAATCTCACCAAGGTACTAGAATTTAAATTTCAAACCTGTTTTCCTGTAGTTAGCGTTCATGAAACGTTTTGAAACTGATCAAAGAGCAGACCTTCTACAGTGCATCCACAGCAGGATAACTTCTGTTGTGCTGGCACACAAAACCACCTACAGCATAAATATTGCGTAACGATTGTACAATCTTAACACAGCCCGCTGCCTAGATAGGGTAAATTTAGGCTGAATGATAGGATGTAGCAGGCTCCCCATCTCAAAACAGAGCCTCTAGCGAGATTAAACGGTAATAGCTAGAGTTAGGGGTGCATAAAGAAACTAAGAATTTCTTTTTGGCAGTCTTGCTGTGAAGTCAGTGGATTGAAGACAGACATCTGCGTGGTCCTTTACTTAATCAGTTCTCTTCAAGTTGCAGTTTGCAGTCACCTTTTATACACAAAATATCTGTTACTACATTTTAGACAACTGGTTTTGATAGCGTTAGAGAAACTGAAGATATGTTTGGTGTTTTCGTAATCTACTGTGTAAGAAAGTGGTATAGTTCATAGTAAATCTAAAATCACAACAAAATTTTATGTCTTACAGAACAGAACAAACGGTCATTGGATGCACTGGTTTCCATGGTGACTGCCTTACCCTTACTAAAATTATTGAAGCAAGATTAAAGGTAGCTAACTGTATTACTGTATTTAGAAACTTACGTTCTCTGTGTCACGTTTGAGACCAATAATATGATATGCTTTAAATTTAATTTCTGTTTGTTTTCTTCAAGTGTTTGTATCATAACTGTATTGCTAGTGGAAGATCAACTAGGAAAAATTGGTGTTGTGTTCTTGCTAAGTGTAACATCACAAATTTAAAGAATGGAAAAGCTAGAGAAGATAATGTTAATGAGGCAACATCTGTTCTTTGCAAAACTTTGGAGAAATGTTAGTTTTTGGCTTGTAAGAAGGCTTGAAGTTTTGGCTTTACTTCTAGACCAGTGTGTTTTCAGTAATCATGCTAGCTAAAAATCTTGTTTAGCATCAGATTCTTCTGTAGTGAGGTTACAGAAAATGTAATTCTGATTGAGAGTTTGACTTTCTTCTCGAACATGCTGTACCACTTGCAGATGTACAAGCATTCCAATAACAAGACCATGACTACTGGAGCTATTGCAGCAATGCTGTCTACAATTCTGTATTCTCGACGTTTCTTTCCTTACTACGTTTACAACATAATTGGTGGACTTGATGAAGAAGGTAAGACTTGAAACAGAAAAAAAAAAGGCTACATTTCTGTGTATGAGTAGCTATCCTTTCACATCTCAGGCATACTGATGGAATAACGAAGTTTGTGTTCCTATTCCTAGCACCTACCTTTAGGCATTACGGTATTTACACAGGTCAAGTACGTCTTATGCATTGGACTTGTTTCCTAGTTTCTGCTACTAACTTGATCTTCCATTTCTGTAGATCTGAAAGTCTAAAAACTATGTTATAATTATTTGATTACAGTGAAATCTGCTAACGTTGATTACCTCTTGTACTTCACTACAGACTGGAACACTTTATAACAGCTTTCCTGAATTTCTTAATGGTGTCTTTAAAGGAGACGTTAGCAGTAAAATTGTATATATTTTACTCAGTCCTGTCAGTGTGGTAGAGGTTATTAAATATGAAGATTTACTCCAGAGACAAATTTCTACAAAGAGATTTTTAAAGTTAACTAACCTTTAATGAAAATCATGACTTCTACATGGAAGCTGTAGTTTAATGTACAGCCCTTCCAGGACTTACTGGACTCTTATTCAATCATTTGGTTGAGTTACTAAAATAATGTGTTCTCTGGCTTTGAGCAGGAGCTCAGAGGTGGTCTTGTTTGGATAATTTCAACTATTCTCTGCAGTTTGTTGTTACCATTAAGTTATACTGCTTTCCCAGTCTTGCTAAGACATGGCTACGATGTGTGGAGTCTGGAAAAGGATTAGTCTGCCCTGTGTAATGGTAAATGTCAGATTGTGAGGGTGCTGTAGCAATTGGTAAGAATCAGAGTGCAGGTTTGCATGCATGGGCTTAATTTGGGTCCAGCAAGGTTGATTGGTGTTGATTCAGCGTTGCTTTCTGGATCTCTGCTGGCTTCTCAGGGCTGCTCAGCAGCCTGTGCTGTGCTGCCAAGCACACTGGCCGGTTTATTAAATCAGGTGCAGCCTGTCTGAAGGGAAAGGCTGGGCTTGGCCAGGTGCTGCGTTTTGATTAGCATCCAACCCTGATGCTGGAGAGCTACCCTGCATCTGCATCTCTGATGTTGGCGCAAGCTAATGAGCTTTGCGCAACCTGGCCTGGCACCAGAGGGAAGTGCATGGGAGACCAGAGCATCATCCCTGGCTCTGGGAAGGCGATGCAGAGACATCCAAGCCTGCTCAAGAGCTGTGTTGTTCAAGAGCGATGGCTAAACTGCCTCTTTGTGCTAGCTTTAGAACCAGCAGAGCTCTTTGTGCAGCACTGCGCTCTAGCACATTCTCCTGCTTTCATTGTTCTGCATCAGCACTTTTTCTGTGGTAAGTATTGTAGAAAACATCTGTCAGAGCATGGTTATAGCTTAAATATTGAAGATAACCTTGCATATAGTACCAGGCCACAACCATAGCGAGCCTACTGTACAAAGCATTGTCTGAAAATATGGCGGTGTTATTTGGTAAAGGTTTGCTGGGATCTGTGGTACTCCAGAGACTGCTTGTGGAGAGCGCTAATTTCTGATGTAAATGCTTACCTGCATTGAGAATCTTTCTGGATTGTGATTACATACTTTTTTTTTTTTTCAGGGAAGGGAGCAGTATATAGCTTTGATCCAGTAGGCTCATACCAGAGAGATTCTTTCAAAGCAGGTGGATCAGCAAGTGCCATGCTGCAACCCTTGCTTGATAACCAGGTAAAATAGTTCTCTCTTTTCCCTCTCCCCGCCTTTATTGTCTCAGTAAACATTTGTGACATTGAAATTAATGTAGCTTTACCTTTGGGGAATATTACTTTTGAGAGAAGTTTTAAATGTATTACGGGTAAGACTGTTAATCCATGCATTTATAAATTGTGTAGCTTTACGTTCTCAGGAGAAATCTGAGTTTTGCTGTAGAATCTGTTCAGGTTTCTAATATGCTACAAACAGTGCACTGCCTGTTTAAAATACAGGTAAATGTTTTAATTGGAGAATTGTTTGCCATAGAAGCTATTTGATTTTTTTTCGGTGTTTTTTTTTTTCCCCTTAGCTGGTAACATAAATATGCCTGTTACTTAGCATGAAATAATACTAAATTAAGAAGATAGAATTAGTATGTATGTAATACGTTTTATCAGTTAACATACACATGTTTAAAAGTCTTAAGTTTTGTACACCTCAGACACCATTTTCTAAGAATGTTCTTGCATAAAACCATTGGAAACTTATTCAAGTAAATCTGTCTAAAAATACTTGAAGAATATTTTCATATTTAATTGCGGCTGTTAATGTTGAATGAGAGAAATACCAAAGCATGTTTTACTCATTCTATTCTCTGACATTGGTATTGTTTAGTCAATCGAGCCTGATGTCATCACCACTTTTGTGCTTAAAAAAACCAATAATCACTCATAGTTCTTATCAGCTGAGAAAGGAATAGAATCTTTTTTTTTTAAACAACTCCAGGTTCTTAGCTTCGACTTAGTTTTGAACTTTATTAACTGAAGACAATAAAATATCTTCTGCAGAAACAAAGTTGTCATAAGTAGCTTTTTATTGCTTATGAGTTTGAGGCAAATAATTCCTCTCCTCCTTTTACAGTTTTGGTGCTTAAGTGAACACTAAAGTTTATACCTAAAATACACTATTTAGTACGACTGATACGTTCCAATGTATACTATTATTTTTTAATTCTAGGTACATTGAGGAATATTTGGGTTTAAGAAATGTTCCTAACTACAAAATGACTAGAGAAAAGGCTTGTGGGCAGTTCTGATACTGCTAACCCAGTGAGAAGTTTCTGAAGAATTAGATCAGTTCAGATCGGAATGTTCATTGTCATTCCGTACATGCTGAATGAGTGGGAGGAGCTATGCTGGCTGTGTACTGGATCTGCTTCTAGTTTCTTTCGTATGAGTATCAGCATTGTTGAAGTTCTGAGCATGCAGCTGTAAACTGTCTGGAGGAATACTTTTGCTGGCTTTGGGTTTCTAAAACAGACCAAGTATTTCTGCATTTTCATCTTTTCTTAGATTGGCTTCAAGAACATGCAAAATGTAGAACATGTACCTCTGACCCTGGAGAAGGCTTTGCAGCTGGTTAAAGATGTCTTTATTTCTGCTGCTGAGAGAGACGTGTACACTGGGGATGCAGTTAAGATTTGCATTGTCACAAAAGAAGGAATCAAAGAGGAAACTGTCCAATTACGAAAAGACTAATTCAGTTCACTTACAAACACATAATCTATGTTGTACAATTTACCTGTATGATGAAGACATTTGTCTTATTAAACTTTTTCATGAAGTCCAGCTGCTGTCATGCTGAGTATTTTCTACCTTTGTTAGAAGCGATCGTGTTTTTTAGAAACCAGAGCAGTTCATGGCAAGGAAGCAGCTAAGAGTTACAGGTTCATTTCGTTCATCTTGTCTTAATCTATTGATCAATCTAATTCCAATGTCAGTTTAATCCCCTTCTGCAATCCCTTATGATGTACAATATGGAGGAGTTTAAACTTACTAAAATTTAGGTTCCCAGACTTCTGGTAATCCTTTCAGTTCAGTCTTGGTTTAGTGAGAAAAGCATTTGTTCTGTTCGTGCTGCCTTCTCTCATAGCTTGCTTTTCCTGTGTTCTCCTTTATCTCTCTGACATGCTATCCTGGCATTTGACCTCTCTGTAGTTATTTACAGAGGCTATAAATATGAGTCATCAGAAACCAATTTCTCTGTGTAAGAGGGAAGAATGTTAAATGGAATCTTCCAGAGTTTAGTCCTGGACTGTGCATCTGGGCTCGCCTCTACCTGTTTCTGTTCAGTTAATGCCCAAAATCTGAAGCATCATCCTTTTCAAGCTACTGATGGTAAATAACTTAGTATGGAGATTCCTGAACAGCTGTTAATGTTTGGGGGCTTTGTTAACCCTATTACTGCTTTTGATTCTTGGGCAAATTGCATCAAGTGTAGACCGGCTGATGTGCTGCATAGCACTCCTGGAAATGGGCTTGAGTACTAGGACCTTTAGAAAAGTAGAGCTTGTGTCATCAAGGGCAAAATAATCTCCTGTCGTGGTTTTAGGCTGATCCAGCAACTAAAACTCACACAGTCTCTCCTTCTCCAGTAAAGTAGAGAGGAGAGGAAAAAAAAAAAACCAAAGGGACTGAG